TCAAATACTGGACGTGCATCACTAGCAGGGCGATCAAAAATTGCCAACAGTTCAGCTTCCATGTATCATCGTGTGCAAATTTGTACAATAAAAAAACACGGAACGGTATCAATGTTAGGAATGTGAATATTGTCGATATAAACACAAAATAGAAGGTTCGTAGTCGAAACAAAAACGTTTGATTTCGTCGTTGTACCGATACACTGGCCACCAGACCTTCTTCTGTAATAAAGCATTAAAAAATATAGAACAAAAAAAAAATTACTCCGATTAACAACTGTAAAAAAACTGTTAGCTATTTAAAGCTTGTAAAATTTAGACGGCGTTTCTGCACTTTAAACTTCAACTTTTACACTAGCCAAATTCCTTCACATAGACTAATAACATTAATGAGCAGAACATTAAAGTTTGCTTGATACAGTTCTACTGCCAACTGTGTCTTTCACTGTATTTCATCGACCAAAAAATATCTATCATACAGTATTTTTACCCAAACATCTAACTTAGTTTTACAGATCTATTTGATTTGATAGATTTAGAATCAGGAGAAAAAAACTTTAAAAAACCTGCTAAAGCAAATTGAAACCACACTACAGCAGAATAGTAGATTTTGTTAAGATGTTAAAAGGCGGTATCAAACAGCTAAATAGGGGTAGAAATTCTCCAAATTTTTTTGATATAAACAATAAATCATAATGTAAATTTTTTTCTCTTACATTTTAACTACTGCTATTGACAAAAGCTATAGCAGTATCAAAAGCAGCAGCACAAAAAACAACACTAAAATTTGAATAAATTGAAAAATGGTTTAAAAATAGATACTTATGCTGCAATGAGATAAATTATGTAATTATCAAAAAGTAAACAATTAATTGGATGTATTATTGATACCTTCAGACATATTCTTTTGATGTGTACGTATCATACTTTCGATGTAAAGCGCAACAATTAGCGACGATACAACCGGTACAATACCGACCACAATAACGAATAGTGCATACAGTTTTTTACCGTGTGGAAATGATGGTGAAAATGTGATTACATAACAGTCTCGATATGTTAACTCAAATGTATAATTGGATTCTGGTATGATGGCAACAATATCATGTTTTGCAGCCACATTTGCATAATCAGCAATCTGTTGTACATTACTGTAATCAACCGGTGAGTCAACGGTGAACAGTTGTCGTCGACTGATACATTCAAAGGTTCCGGTGGAAAATGTAAGACCAACAAATACAATGCTAATCAGCCATGTGGAACCGATTAAGAGTAATGCTCGAAATTGTGTCAAGATGTTTAGATGCCTAGAAAAAGCGAAAAAGAGAAAAAAAAAAGGAAAGAAAGTTTAATCTAAGTAGATAAATATACATAAATAAATATATATGTGTATTTATTTATTAAAATAAATATATTTATCATATTTATTACTAAACATTTCATTTTTGTTCCTCTTCTGCCACCTTTCTTCCTTGCCTGTTTTCTTTTCCTAACGCAGATTACAACAACAGTTATTATCTTTCATTTGCATTTGTTAGTAAAACCTTATTTTATCTATTTTTTTATGTCTATTTTTTTTTTAATTTTTGTAACACGTAAAGAAAAGATAAAGGCGAATATAAACAAAAAGAAACAAACATTACTGTTTATTTTTTATTTAAGTTATAATGAGGTAAAAAAGAAGATGAAAACTTATGATAAAACAGAAGAAGACTACTGTTATTTTTAGTTTTTTATTGACTATCAGTTTTTTTTTTTTT